TAGTTTTTGCATTCAAGTTAGGTCTGGGAGATTTGTTACGGGGGAAAGTCGATAATTTATTGGAAAATTCGTGAAAAATTAATGGAACTTTGTAGGGATTTTTTGAAGGTTGAGAATGATAGAGTAGACCCTAAAGCAGAGTCCAAAATAGTTTTTGCAATCAAGTTAGGTCTGGGAGATTCGTTACGGGGGGAAGTCGATAATTTATTGGAAAATTCGTCAAAAATTAATGGTACTTTGTAGGGATTTTTTGAAGGTTGATAACGATAGAGTAGAACCTAAAGCAGAGTCCAGAATAGTTTTTGCATTCAAGTTAGGTCTGGGAGATTTGTTACGGGGGAAAGTCGATAATTTATTGGAAAATTCGTGAAAAATTAATGGAACTTTGTAGGGATTTTTTGAAGGTTGAGAATGATAGAGTAGACCCTAAAGCAGAGTCCAGAATAGTTTTTGCATTCAAGTTAGGTCTGGGAGATTCGTTACGGGGGGAAGTCGATAATTTATTGGAAAATTCGTGAAAAATTAATGATACTTTGTAGGGATTTTTTGAAGGTTGAGAATGATAGAGTAGACCCTAAAGCAGAGTCCAGAATAGTTTTTGCATTCAAGTTAGGTCTGGGAGATTCGTTACGGGGGAAAGTCGATAAGTTATTGGAAAATTCGTGAAAAATTAATGGTACTTTGTAGGGATTTTTTGAAGGTTGAGAATGATAGAGTAGACCCTAAAGCAGAGTCCAGAATAGTTTTTGCATTCAAGTTAGGTCTGGGAGATTCGTTACGGGGGAAAGTCGTAAGTAATTTTTCACGAATTTTCCAATAAATTATCGACTTCCCCCCTTAACGAATCTCCCAGAGCTAACTTGAATGCAAAAAATATTCTGGACTCTACTTTATCATTCTCAACCTTCAAAAAATCCCTACAAAGTATCATTAATTTTTCACGAATTTTCCAATAAATTATCGACTTTCCCCCGTAACGAATCTCCCAGACCTAACTTGATTGCAAAAACTATTCTGGACTCTGGTTTAAAGTCTACTCTATCATTCTCAATCTTCAAAAAATCCCTACAAAGTACCATTAATTTTTCACGAATTTTCCAATAAATTATCAACTTCCCCCCGTAACGAATCTCGCAGACCTAACTTGAATGCAAAAACTATTCTGAACTCTGCTGTAGGGTCTACTCTATCATTCTCAACCTTCAAAAAATCCCTACAAAGTACCATTAATTTTTCACGAATTTTCCAATAAATTATCGACTTCCCCCCGTAACGAATCTCCCAGACCTAACTTGAATGCAAAAACTATTCTGGACTCTGCTTTAGGGTCTACTCTATCATTCTCAACCTTCAAAAAATCCCTACAAAGTACCATTAATTTTTCACGAATTTTCCAATAAATTATCAACTTCCCCCCGTAACGAATCTCGCAGACCTAACTTGAATGCAAAAACTATTCTGAACTCTGCTGTAGGGTCTACTCTATCATTCTCAACCTTCAAAAAATCCCTACAAAGTACCATTAATTTTTCACGAATTTTCCAATAAATTATCGACTTCCCCCCGTAACGAATCTCCCAGACCTAACTTTAATGCAAAAACTATTCTGGACTCTGCTTTAGGGTCTACTCTATCATTCTCAACCTTCAAAAAATCCCTACAAAGTACCATTAATTTTTCACGAATTTTCCAATAAATTATCGACTTTCTCCCGTAACAAATCTCCCAGACCTAACTTGAATGGAAAAACTATTCTGGACTCAGCTTTAGGGCCAACTCTATCATTTTCAAACTTCAAAAAATCCCTACAAAGTTCCATTAATTTTTCACGAATTTTCCAGTAAATTATCGACTTTCCCCCGTAACAAATCTCCCAGACCTAACTTGAATGCAAAAACTATTCTGGACTCTGCTTTAGGTTCTACTCTATCATTATCAACCTTCAAAAAATCCCTACAAAGTACCATTAATTTTTGACGAATTTTCCAATAAATTATCGACTTCCCCCCGTAACGAATCTCCCAGACCTAACTTGATTGCAAAAACTATTTTGGACTCTGGTTTAGGTTCTACTCTATCATTCTCAACCTTCAAAAAATCCCTACAAAGTATCATTAATTTTTCACGAATTTTCCAATAAATTATCGACTTCCCCCCGTAACGAATCTCCCAGACCTAACTTGGATGCAAAAACTATTCTGGACTCTGCTTTAGGGTCTACTCTATCATTCTCAACCTTCAAAAAATCCCTACAAAGTATCATTAATTTTTCACGAATTTTCCAATAAATTATCGACTTCCCCCCGTAACGAATCTCCCAGACCTAACTTGATTGCAAAAACTATTCTGGACTCTGCTTTAGGGTCTACTCTATCATTTTGAAACTTCAAAAAATCCCTACAAAGTTCCATTAATTTTTCACGAATTTTCCAATAAATTATCGACTTTCCCCCGTAACAAATCTCCCAGACCTAACTTGAATGCAAAAACTATTCTGGACTCTGCTTTAGGGGTCTACTCTATCATTCTCAACCTTCAAAAAATCCCTACAAAGTACCATTAATTTTTCACGAATTTTCCAATAAATTATCGACTTCCCCCCGTAACGAATCTCCCAGACCTAACTTGAATGCAAAAACTATTCTGGACTCAGCTTTAGGGTCAACTCTATCATTTTCAAACTTCAAAAAATCCCTACAAAGTTCCATTAATTTTTCACGAATTTTCCAGTAAATTATCGACTTTCCCCCGTAACAAATCTCCCAGACCTAACTTGAATGCAAAAACTATTCTGGACTCTGCTTTAGGTTCTACTCTATCATTATCAACCTTCAAAAAATCCCTACAAAGTACCATTAATTTTTGACGAATTTTCCAATAAATTATCGACTTCCCCCCGTAACGAATCTCCCAGACCTAACTTGATTGCAAAAAACTATTTTGGACTCTGGTTTAGGTTCTACTCTATCATTCTCAACCTTCAAAAAATCCCTACAAAGTATCATTAATTTTTCACGAATTTTCCAATAAATTATCGACTTCCCCCCGTAACGAATCTCCCAGACCTAACTTGAATGCAAAAAACTATTCTGTACTCAGCTTTAGGGTCAACTCTATCATTTTCATACTTCGAAAAATCTCTACAAAGTATCATTGATTTTTCACGAATTTTCCAACAAATTATTGATTTCCCCCCGTAATGAATCTCCCAGTCCTAACTTGACTGTAAAAACTCTTCTGAACTGTGCTTATGGGTCAACCGAACTCTATCATCCTCAAATTTCAAAAAAATTGCACAAAGCATCAATATTTTTCCACAAATTTTCAAACAAATTATCGTTTTTCCCTCGTAGTAACTTTTCCAGACCTAACTTAACTGGAGCAAATATCCTCGAATGTGCCTGAGGGTTATTTCTACTTTTTCCGAATCCCAGAAATCCCCTACATAATATAAAAATTGTATTTGATTGAATTTCACGGTTTTTTTAATTTTTCTTTTCAATAATTATCTGACTGTAATATACACGAATCTGAATATGAATATGAAGCTAACTTCAGCTACGTGGTAATATACCCCACAAAAAATCTCGAGAAGATGAATACCTTATTTTTATTGAATTTTGAATTTTCCAACCCTTCATCTACCACCGAATTCGAAACCAGTTTGAAACGGAGCTCTAGAAAATCTTACTAATTACCTGCCCTGCTTGAAGATAGTAGTGGTACTACTCGATGATCTAATAGAAAAAAAAAGACCCTCAATATCTATACATACATTAACGGAGTATGATTCAGAGTAATATCAGTTGCTTATTTAATAAATGTTTTAAAACCAAATATGGTAGAGGTGACCTATTTACGAGACTATTAATGGAAAATGATTGGCAAATTGAACTTTTTATGTACATACCTACCTACCTATTATGAAATTGCGTTTCAAAACCGATTTCTAGAATAATATTTATCCGTAGCTTATCAAATAACCAATTACCTACTTCGTGCCTTATGACTTATTTGTGCAGTAGAAACAAGTATCTATAATAACCTAAACCAATTAATTTGGCCGCTAAAAAAATATTTCTTATTCATAGATTAGTAGGTACCGGGTAGGTAGGTACCTACTTAGTGGATTTAGTTTTGAAAAGTTTTTTTTTTCACAAGATAACCCTATCCAAAATCTCTAGAAAAAGGATAAATACTTACCTCATTTTTGTCGTTTATTTTTTTGACATATTCAACCCTCAATCCCCTGCCGATTTTGAGACCAAAGGTATTACTCTAGAGCACTTTATCAAGTCCCTGCCAAAAGATAGTAGCAGTACCCCATCCAAAATTTCAAGAAAAATGCTGAAGACCTTGTTTTTATTAAGTTTTTCATATTTCAAATTCTTAATCCTCTATCGATTTCGAAGTCAATTCAAGGGATTATTCTAGACACTTTATCAAGTCTCTGCTAAAAGATTGAAGTGATACCCCATCCAAAATTTCAAGAAAAGGTTTTTGATATTCTCAGCCTTTCATTTCCTACCAATTCCAAATCTAATTGATTGATTGAGAACACCTCTAATGAAGTCCCTGTTTCAAGATAGATGCCCTTTCAAAATCTCGAGAAAATGAATTAAGACATTCATCAGTCGTATGAATAAAGTGTAGCAAATGCTTTTACTCTACCTTTGTCTCTTTTTGCTGCATTGAAGTTGAACATGTTTATATCAAAAAACTTAAGCAAAAGCATTTGCTGCTGTTTTTTTCATATTATGAGCCATTACCAGCTGAAACCTCAACAAAAAAGGTGAACATGATTTCACCGAGTTTTTGATATTGTCAACTCTTCATCTCCAAACCAATTTGAAGCAATTACGCGCACCGATAACCCCAGGCATCCACACAAATTTGCAATCACCTGTTTATTTGAAGATCTGACCTATACACACTCAATGAATTATATTATTTTCAGATATTTTGTATAGAAGTTTTGAATAAAACAATAAACTATGGTTTTATTAATTTTTATAAAGTAGGCTTAACAAAGAATCTTGAAACTATATCAAAATATACAAATATTCTTAAATATTACAATTATTATAAAATTAAATTAGTAGGTGTAAAGCTCAATAACAGTTCCTCAAAAAAAAAAGATTGTACCTTAGCTTTATTTAACCCTTGATTGCCAACGTCACAAAATACCATGTAAATAACAATCATAATCATGTGTAAAGTAAAGTTTGGGTTAGAAGTTAATAAGAATTTTTACCTAATAAGAGTAAAATCAATCAAATATAAAGGAAAAGAGTAAAAAACTAATATAATAATTGAACATACATTTATGATTAGTGCTTAAATTCTCATATACGTCAATTTACACATAAAATATAGGTGAATTTAACGTTTGGACCCCTACTTTCACTTTAGCTACTACACACCAACTATACTGGGTTGGCAATCGAACTTTTGGTACTGGGGAACTCACCCTTTCAAATCACGGACAATAAAATACTGGGATAGATATGCAATTCTGTTTTGAGGTAGAACTATGTCTCGAACTATGTATATGTAAAATGTTATCAAGTTGGCAATACAGAGTTAAGTTACAGAGTTGTTTGCCTAACAGTAGCGACTAGGAAAAATAAACTTTATTGCAAAAGTTTACTGAATGTGAAAAACCTATATCAATACAATCTGAAATTTTGAATAAAGAAATCTACTATAACTGTGTTTAGTTCAACAATAAAAAGTAGTAACTAACATAACATAAAAACATTTTCAAATAAGGACCCTAAGTGCCCAAAGCTCAATTAGTATTTAAAAAATAATAATAAATTGTAACTGAGCACTCTAGCTAGTCACGCGGATTAATTTGCCTAATAGTGGCGACTATGACAAATCTATATCACAAAAACTTACAAGTAATAAATAAAACTACTGTCAGACGAAAGACAGAATGGACCAAAACTAAAAATTTTGTCTGGCACATCTGACGCATGTATAAACCCTTTGCTTACTTCGTAATAATATGGTAGTTTTATTTGTTACTGTATATCACAAGTATGTAAAATTATTAAAGCAATATGTACTTCGTGACTTAGACTATCATTTAATTTGTAAAAATGTATTGAAACTTGATTAAAGATTTTTAGAAAGGCCTTAAAAACATAATAATACTAACAAATAAATATAAAAAGAAAAAAAAAGTAGCACTATAAATGCGATTCTAGTCATGCAATAAAAATTAATCCTGCATCTTTTATACAATAAAAAGTAAAAAATTTCAACTTAAATTTCAAAGTTAACTTATTTTTAGATAGCAAATTTTAAAACTGGTGTAAGCCAGGTTGATTTTCATATATTTTGCAAAAAAAAATATATTGATTAGGTACTTAATTCTATTGGTAGGGTGTTCTTGGGTTAACATTGATCATTTCACTGGTACTAAAAAAATATTAGTTAAAAATGTGTATTCAAGATAGACACATGAAGTATTTACCTTCTCCCACATTTAATATGAATTAAAAGTAAAACAATGCCTAGGACTAAGCATATTACTCCTACAACGATATATGCAACTCCCAAAAATGGATTTTTACCACCAAGTATAGAGGTTGTGCTTAAAATCATTTGCTTAGATCCTTCAAAAGTACTGACATCATAATCTGAAATTTATTTTGGATTTCAATGAATAATTAATCTTTTTTTTTAATGGCTTACTATATTCAACAGTTAGCAAATAATCTCCTTTTTGCAAACCATCAGTAAAATATAATTTGGTATGATCAATCCTCCTGTAAAGTTTTCTAAAAGAAGGTAAAGCAGCTGTTCTCATCCAAACAATTAAATCTTCATTTTGGAAGCCATTATTATCAGGATTGTGTTCATCCAGTTGCCATATAGGTTTTTTCCAGGCTTTCGGTTTGGCATAATTTGCAAAAGCTTGCTTCAAATCACCAGGAGGATTGCGGAATTTTATATTTTTATCAGAGTCCCATGCTATTCCTGTGTTGAGTAAAGTCGCATTTAGCCAACCCTCTGTATTCACCCACATAGACATAGAAAGGACATCTGAAAATTATATTTATCATAGAAAAATTAATTTAGCAAAAAAATAAAGTTAAAATTATTATAAAATGTAGGTAAATATAAAATTTAATTGGAATGGGTATGTAACCTTTTTTGAGCAGTTCAAATGTTACGACTTTCGCATTGCCTACTTTATTAACGTATTAGAAATATATTCTTTGAAGTGGCAATAGAACATTTTGGACTGACTAGCATTAAACCCTGTTTTAACCTGGAAGGTGGAAGCTTTGGAAACTTTTCAGACTTTAACCCCAAGACCTAGATAATCTACATATCAATTAAACCAAGCTTCACCTATAGAATGAGCATGCAATCTCAGCTTTGAATATACATATATTGCTATAATGACCCAAAGGAAATGTGGAGATCATTAAAACACATTACTGGTCAAAAAAATACAGAAAAAATAGATAAAATTGATTTTTTGGGAAGCGTTTCCAATAGTTTATCTGAAATTGTGGAAAATTTCAATCAGTACCTTTTTTATTTAGAGTATGACTGATATTGTATTGACAAAACCTCTAAGCTAATGAATATTTATTACTGAAAATAGTGGTAATGTACATTTTTCTAAGTTTCAACTTATTGAGAAAGAAATTCTTAGGGAAGTCATTTTTTCTATGAGTTATAAGTCGAGTCCTGATGATTTCGATATCTCGATCGATATGTGGTTTTATGAAGAATTTTTTGATGAATTATCAAATATAGTTTGAAGGTTGTTAATAGTGGTTTATTGCATTGAAAGATACCTGATGCGCTGAAAGTTTCAACGATAGTGCCAATAAAAAAGTGGCTGAAACTGCCTAGGCTCTAGCTTTAATGATTGTATGAATTATGACGTCTATACTATAACTTGAAAAAAAAATTAATCTGTCTTTTTGTTTATTCGCTTTTTTTTAAAATTTATATGTGCCATATATAAAGGTTTGACTGGATTTATGAATGACATTTTAGGTAGCAGTTTTTGGTGATTTTTATCTTTATTGCCTCGATTAGTTTTTAGTATCTTAACATGTAACATTAGTTTTCAGTGTCTCCTTATACTATTTCTGTATTATTTCCATTTTAGCTTTGTAAATAAGGGTCTTAAGGCCTTTTTGTACAATAAAGCAATTTTGATTTGATTTGATTATTATATAATAACCCCATGGGCATGACGTATCAGAAGATTTATCAGTCAGAAATCATTTAAGTATAAGACTTTTCAAAATTATTTAAATGGCTTAATTAGCATGCATTTTGTTTTTGCAATATTCAATTTTCGCTTCAATATCCGAGACAATACCAATATCAATCCGTGAAGGTTGGAAATAAGCTTCAATTCGATCACTATTTGATCTTACCATTAAACATGGAATTAGCAATGGCCCCACATGGTGCTATCGGTTTCCTAGTATTATTTTCTGTAGCATAGTCAAAAGGCATACATTCATGTGCAGGGTCCACTCCTAAAATTCCCAAAAGTTGGTTATCATCCCTGGATTTTACATAACGCCTATGATTCTGATAGAAATTGCTTAGACCATAATACATGGAGACACTTCCCTGTAATAATTTGAATTAGGTATGATATTTTGCCATTTATGTTATATACAAAATTACTTCAAAGTGTTCCTTGAGTGAAAATTTAATTCTGCAATAACATGATTCAACCTCCTTATCCTTGTTAGCTTTCAAATAATCTATGCATCTTTGGTCAGTTTCTTGCCAGGAAGTACCCGAGGCATTAACTGTTCGATTACAATTTGTATAATCTATGATGTGCTCCTTCACTTCATCTGAAAAGTAAAGTAGTCCAATACCAACAGGTATAAAAGCAATTCCTATAACAAAAAATGTTGGTAACACTGTTCCTGCTGTAAGTATTGGCTGCCATGCTGGAAGCTTTTGTTGTTTAAATGCACTATCTGGAAAGAAAAAGATATACAGACAATGATTTAAATAACAGGCTATTCCTGTAAGCTATATCAAATTTGATGAGCAGCTTATACATCCAACCAAAATGTTAAACAGACACTTCACAAGTGTAAAAAAATTAGCCAAATGGATAACTAACTAATTAGGTGTGTATACTGGAAAAATTATTAGTTTCAGATTGGTTTAACAAGGATACATTTTTTTGAAATATCTCATATTATATTTGTCCGTCGAAGGTTTAAACTACTAAAGCTTGTACCTACTAAAGGAAACCGTCAAAGATTGACAAACATTCGTATTGGTCAATTTCTGCATGAGAGCAGTAATTTCTTAGTTAGAATAAATACACTTCTTACATGCAAGCAAAAGCTGTATTTTTATGCAGTGCGTCGATTTCACCAAAAAGCGTCAAGAAATTGCCCCAAGGCAAAGGAAAGTGTTCATAAAAAATCATGGACAAAAACAACACTCAAACCGAGACCCAAACTAACCCAAAATATCCTCATCATGACAGAAAAATGAGACCTAGAGGCAACTTCAATGAATTTGGGGCAATTAGGCCCAACAACAAAAGAACAGACTAGAAATTATCTCCTCCGGTTTGGATCCAGATCTAAAGAGCTGATCTGCCAGGAAAGTTTCTGGCCAAGAAGTGTCGTCCGAAGACTTAACTTTGCGACAGGAAAACATTTTGAGCTAAGAAGAAAATAGATAAATTCCAACAAGCTGATGAACCTTCTCATCCGAGATGTTATATCCGAGGAAACGGTACCGCCATATTTGCTAGAGAATATTTCAGTTTAGAGAGTTAACTAGTCTTGCCTCAATAGCAGAACGTTTAAATTATCTGTGTCTACCAAAGTCCCAAAAATTAGGCAATCGAAACCACATGACATTCAAGATGGCGTGGCGGCCACACATGGATCAAAAAACACAAAAAAATATCTAGTTTCTAGCCCGACTTAATAGTTTACGTACCTGGTAAACAAATATTTTAATGAATAATCAAAATCAAAGCTGCAAGCAAAACTCGAGGCAAAATAATTAAAATATGCATGCAAAAACATATTCAAAAAAAACCTGCTGGCCGCCACGCCATATCGAATTTTTCGTTTTGACAGATGGATTGGATTGCCTAATTGAAAAAAACTAAATAGGTACTACTCTCGATACTACTCTAAAAATTCTAAAAAATAGATATTTTCAGAGTAAATGGACTCAGAGTGGTGCTAATAGTAGGAAACAGTAGAAAATTAACGATAGCTTATTTAAAAAGGGACATAGGGATGTAAATATGGATTATTTAAAGACAGATAATAATTTAATATACAAATATGTAATAATCTATAAATTAAATACTTTCCACAAGTGGGTGGGTCCACTGATAAAAAATCAGACGAGGCGATACCTCTACTAAAGAGGAACGTTAAGTTCAATATTTTTGTTTTTATTTGTGTAGTTGAATGACGCACATGCAGTAAATGAAATCCTTGATGAAATCATACTGGAACTTAAACAGCATTTGGCACCAGTCCAAGATAATATTATTTCAAATTATGATCTTACGCTAAGAAAACCTATTTTAGATATCTTAGAAAGGCTAATAAACAATTTTATCACTATTGCGGAATATACCCACAAGAACGGAAAATAACTTAAATAGCTCCTATCTATAAATGTGGTAGTCGAGGTGGTAGTATAAATATCCGCCCATAGTATTTTCTGCTCGATTTTCTCAAACATTATGAAAAAAAATATTAGGAGAAGAACTGGGAGAAGAATGATATCATTTATAGAAAAAAACAATTTGGTGAATTAATTCCAGGTAATTCCTAGAAAACAGTAGCACCCTAAGTGTGTCATTATCAGCTAATATAATCGTATTTTTTGTTGACCTGCAAAAAGCATTTGATAATGTAAGCCATAGTTTGTTGCTGAAGAAACTAGAAAGCATGGGTTTCAGACCTGTGATTTTTGATAGAAACCTATTCACATGAAAGAGATCAGTATGTACAGCTTCGAAACATCTCTATTTTTCCTGTTATACATAAGGTACTTGATCCCTGTGTGGGAATTTGTGGTTCAGTCTGTTTTCATAATGTACAAATTATGCAAAACTAGCTGACCCGGCGAACTTCGTACCGCCTCTGAATTATTAAATATACCTAACAAATGTTGTGTTAACGTATCTATAGCTGAATTAAATTCAGTTTTTCTCGATGGTGAATTTGGCTTTAGTTGAAGAAAATTAATGTTTACTCTCTGGATCAGAAGTCACCTAAAATTAAAATTTTACATCATCCATTTTTAGGCAGCTTGTGGGCATTATTCTTGTAAAGTGTACCACCAAATAAATAAATTCAGGCACAGGAATGTTCAAAGAATGGAAAGAAAACAAAAAAAATCTCTAGTGCAGCCCTGTTTTACTCTATCTGCACTGCATGCACTGCACTACTCCATCTGTTCTACCCTATCTGCACTACTCTATCTTATCTACTCTTTCTGCACCACTCTATCTGATCGGAATAGTGGAATAGTTCTGTTCGAAATAGCTCCAGTTCCTGAGCAGCATTGTTCTACTGTATCTGCAATGCCGAGCTTCGTTCCAGGTATCAGAGATGGCGCGGTATACAAAATAAACTTGGTATCAGTTATAAGAGATGGCGCCGTATGCGGGCTTAGTAATTTTTTTTCATAAATCCCCATTAACAAAATGATCCTCCATTTATTGAATAATTCATTTATTACAAAAAAATGTGATAAATGAAGAACCGCTCGACCGATTTTGTGCAAACTTCACATAAACCATCTAATAAATATTCCGAACAAAGCCTAAACATTTGGTTTGGCTAGGTGAGCCTGTTCTTGAGTTATAAAATTACAACGAAAAGTGGCATTGATTTTTATATATATAGATAAAGTACTTGAAGTACCTACTATTTAACTAAGATAGGCTTACTGATACAGACTATACAGTGATATAGGGGTTGAAAGCTAGATGTTTTATTGAAACAACAGCAATGTGAATAAATGTATACCTAATTAATACCAATACCTAAAAAAAAAAAAAAAAACAAATGTAAGCATCTGTTTCTGCAATGAATGTCATACTAGATCATGGAATAACATATACCAAAGCTATGATACCAGAACTAATTTAGGACTAAATGATCCAGTAGTACATGCCTCTGGAGTCTCTAATAGACTTCCAGAAAATATTAGAAATACGAATGGGTTTCATAGGTTTAGGAAACCAAGAAAAGTGTATCTAGGTAGCTATATAGATTACTAGAGTTTCCTATATAATGAATATTGGTGACTAAATGTATTGACTAATATGATAATGAAGTTATTTTGAAAAAAAAAATTATAACAATAGTGAAAATCTCAGCCATTAGGTTTTCTCGACAAGTTTTACTTTACAGAATTATTGATACTTAATTAATTCCTCGATTAATTCCTACTGAACTTACCCAGCAGCACCATTGTAGATGATGTTTGTATTAAAAATCTTAATAAAAGGGCTTGTGAATTGGACAGGAACTATTCTTGATAAACTAATCCCTTATAACGTGGATGTGACATTTATAACCAAGTTTATAACTAAATTTCAGGGTGTGTATAGAGTGAATCAGGTCAATAAAAGGGTGTAAAGAGGAGTGGGAACGTCCTAAAGGCCAAGACCAAGATATTTTTAGATAGAAGTAGGGTGCAGATAGGGATAGGATGAGTACACAGCAGATTGTATTGAGCTTGAGCTTTGAGCTTAAAATAAGAGAATTCAAAAAGCGTCTTACCAGAGGGTTTTTTGCTTTTAGGGCTATCACTAGCTTCGGAAACCGGGGCCATTGCAATTATTGTTAAAATAGTTTAAACTAAATTTTTAAATAATAATTAATAACAATAATATATTTTCAATTTCTACAAAAAAAAATCTTCCACAGTATTTTGACGCAGTTTTGACTTTTGGTTGACAGAAAAACAAATAATTAATTTTTGAGGTGCAGAAACAAGGACTGGATATACAGAGAAGGATGGCCTACTTCTATATAACATGGGGAGTGCCGACAGTGACGTCACTGCAGATGCTAGAACTATGCTGTGCTCCATTGAGACGGAATTAACTCACGACACAAGCTTGTGTCTTTTAAACTGATAAATATAAATGTTGAACTTCAATATCAATAGTATATCTAGTTAATATGTATAAAAAGTAGAAACCGCAATAATCTATTCCTATTCAAGTTTTTATTTAGATATAGCGGAAGAGGACTTTAGGTCAGGTCAACGTATCGAAGTCACGCGGATTCGTTATGATCAAATGGGGGAATTGAAACCTATTTAAGATGACAAAATTACAAGAAAAGTCCATGACTGTGAAATCTTACAATGGGCACTTGACAGTTTCTTTTACTGGTGTGAAGATAATCATTTCGCACTACGCATTAATGTCTTTCCATAGAGCCAAATAGCCACATATTTTAAACTAGGTACCTACGTCGTAGTAAACGGAATCGAACTTGTTAGGGTTCATATTGTCATTAGGGATCTTGGCGTGTTTCTATATGATGAATTGAGTTTTTCCAAACGCATTGATGTTTGCTGTTCAATCCCACTTTTATAAAAAAAGCATAAATCATCATCATCATAGGAGATCACTCGGTATGATAATCTTCTATTCCTATTGTCGTCGATTGTGCGTTTTTTGATGGGAATATAAAGAAAGTAATTTTCAATTCTGAAGCTGCACACTCTTATTTCACGCAGTCTTGGCACACCCAGCCTCTGGCAGCATCGTCTCTTCCTCTGTTCTTTCGCTCCTTCCTGTGGTCCATCTTTTTGGTATCGTGTCTGCGTCGCTGTTTTGCAAAAGTTTGTGGTCCGTCGTAAACGACTCGACACCATGAGAGCCTATCATTTGCTGTCGTGCACACTTAATTTTCAAATTTTGCACACCTTTGTTGAGAGAGTTATCGACCATCCAAAAATAAGATGAGATCAAGGCGATCATATCAGGACAAAATTTCAAGCTCTCTAAGCCAGAACCTTAGAGGACCCGGAAAGCATTGAGGAGCACTGGAGAATATTGAAGACTGTAATATAACATCTGCCTCCGAAGAAACGGTCGGCTACAACAGAATAAACAATCAAGACTAGTTTGAGAGAACGATACTGAAATTTCAGACCTTATAGAAAAATGAAAAAAAGCGCATAATGCATGGAAAAACGACCCCAACTCGATTGTAAAAAAAGAGGCAACATCAACAAGCAAAAGCAGAAGCTCAAAGGCAAACGCGAGCATTAAAGAACCAATGGTGGATAACAAAATCCAATGAAATGCAGCCACTAGCTGAATCCAACAGCATCAGAGACTTCTTTTAGGCTACTAAGATGGTATACCGACCAACCACTAAAGGGCTCAATCTTTTACGATCCAAGGATTCCAACGGATCGAAGGCACAAGACTACTCAAAGACAGTTCTTCCATTAATTCTCGTGGAAGGAACGCTTTCAGGAACTACTTAACAGAAAATCACAAATTAATAGTGACATCTTTAACGAAATTCCACAGAAAGCTATACAAGAACTGAGCGACGTTCTCAGATTAGAGGAGATTGGAAAGGCAATCAGGCAACTAAAGAACAATAAGTCAGCTGGTACTGATTGCATTCCTGCTAGATTCTTTAAACAAGGAGGTCTCACACTGAACTTAGCTGACATGATTTTCTGTGCAAGACATATGCAAGAGAAATCCAGAGAACAGATAAATCGCCGTCTATACATAATGGCGTTCATAGATTATGGATTTCGTGGAAGCATAATTGATTCGGTCAACAGAGAAGCTCTTTGGAAGATATTCGCAAAGGTTGTTGAGTGTCCGCAAAAGTATATCCAGATACTCCTACTGCTGCATGATAATATGAAAGCAATCATCCTAAGCAACGATGGACAAGAAGATGAGTCTTTCCAAATAACTACAGGCGTTAAACAGGACTGTTTTATTGCAATCACTTTATTTTCTCTATTTAGAGGATCCATACTCCACCTCGTCAAGGGTCACCTGCCGTCAGGAGTGGAAGTCCTGTGCAAACTTGATGGCCTTATTCAACCTATTTACGAGCCAAAGGGAAAGTATCCATGACATCGATAATGGAACTTCAATATGCGGATGATTTGTCGTGATGGCCAATAGAGAGGAAGATCTTCAGGCCATTATCAATGCATCATTCATCGAGGCATACAGGAGAATCGGCCTACAGGTAAACTTCAACAAGACACAGATTCTGCACCTAACCCGCATCGGCCACTAATGCCCAAGCCCCAAATATAACTATAAATGGCCATTTTTTGCAGACCGTAGAACAACACTGGGATCATTGAGACCAAATTTCGCGTCTACAATGCAGTTGTAATACCAATACTTACATATGGCTGCGAAACATGGACCACCTACAGAAGACACATTTAAAGCCTAGAAAAATACTACCAGCGATGCCTAAGAAGGATCCTAGAGATTAATTGGCAAAACCGACGAACGAGCATTAGTATTTTAGAGGAGGCCAAAACAACTAGCATGGAAGCTTACATTAAGCAACAACTTCGCTGGATAGGTCACCTCGTCCGGATGCCCGAAACACGACTTCCACAATAGATTCCTATTACTGTCAACTGAAAGGGAGAAAACGAAATCAAGGAGGTCAACAAAAACGCTACAAAGATGTTCTTAAGACGATATGGCAAAGTGCCGCATTCCGCATTGATACCAGAACTGGGCGACGACGGCAAATGAAAGGCCCTCGTGGGGTCGAGTAGTCCACGACTGACCACAAACTTTTGAAGAACAGCAGACCCGAGACCGAAGAGAGGGACCGCAGGAAGGAGCAAGAGAACAGAGGAAGAAACAATGCTGCCAGAGACTAGAGACTGGGTGTGTCAAGACTGTGGAAGAGTGTGCGGCGATGAATGCGGAACATAGACCGATACAAAAGACACATAAAAAGACTAGAAAAATACCAAAAGCGCTGCCTACATCTGCATGTTGACAAACCTACACGTATAACATCCCATTCTTTCACATTAATAGATCATGTAATTTCAAATTTTGACCAAGGAGATGTTAAATGTAATGTGACAAATAGCGCACTCTCTGATCACGAGGCGGTATGGTGTAGTTTTGCAATAAATAAAAAAGAGAGAAGGAAAGCAAAAAGGTGGGGTAGATTGTTCACAAGAAAAAATTATGATAGGTTCACGCAACTTGCTTCTTTGGAAAACTGGGGTGATGTGTTGAGCTCTGCAGATCCATTGTCAGGTTTCCACTCTGTTTTAGCTAAAATTTTTAATGCAAGTTTTCCTTTAAAACGTTTAAAACAAAAAACAAAAAAAAGTTGGATTACTAAAGGAATAAGAGTTTCAGCAAAAAATTTAAGATGTCTGCACTATATAAGAAAATTCAATATGTGTAATGAATTTTTTGTAAATTATTTCAATAAGTATAGATCAATATATCGTAGAACTATAAAGGCAGCTAAGCAATCTTATTATGTAAAGAGAATTGCGTCTTCCTGTAATAAGCAGAAGACAGCTTGGCAAATTGTAAATGAACTTCGAGGAGATAATAAGTGTCTTAAGGAATGTTTGGATTCCAAATTAAACGCTACTGATTTAAATAAGTTTTATTGCAATATAGCCAACCATTTATCAAGCTTAATAAAAAGTAATTTAAATTTTGAAAACTTTTTAAATCATGTAAATATAACTGAAACATTCTTTTTTGTACCCACCAATGAACACGAAATTAAGGAAACAATTTTGGAGCTGAAGGGTAACAAGGCGCCTGGGTGGGACGGCATTTCCTCTAAAATATTTAACAAACTTCCTGAGAATGCACTTAGGATTCTAGCAGAAGCTATGAACCTCTCTTTTATTACAGGTATTTTTCCCCACTGTTTGAAGATCGCTAATATTGTCCCATTATACAAGGGTGGAAATGAGGAAAGCCCCTCAACCTACAGACCAGTGGCATTGCTGCCAAATTTATCTAAGGTTGTGGAAAAAATCGTTAAAAGGCAAATCCTTAATTTTTTGAAGAAAAAAAATATCTTGACCACAGTGCAATTTGGCTTCCTAGAGAAAAGATCCACCAGTGATGCTATATTCAGTTTTCTGGAGGATCTTTACATGAGGATGAACGATCGACAGGTTGCAGCGGCAGTGTTTTGTGACTTGACAAAAGCTTTCGATTGTGTGAGTCACAGGATATTGCTGCGTAAACTGGAGATTTATGGATTTAGGGGTAAAGGACTAAGTTGGTTTCAATCATATTTGACCAATAGAGTCCAGTCTGTATCTTATAATGGGATAAGATCAAACCAACAGACTCTAAATAGTGGAGTGCCTCAGGGTTCGGTTCTGGGACCAATTTTCTTTTTAGTCTATATTAATGATATTGCAAACCTTAACATTTCTGGAAGCTTTACATTGTTTGCAGATGATGCAACAATTCTCTGGAGTGGTACAGATGAACATATTTTGGTTGAAACCATTAACCACGACCTGTCCTTAATAAAGAACTGGTGTGATTCAAATAAGCTGTGTCTAAATATTTCCAAAACTAATATTATTTCTTTCAAATGTAACCTGGGACCAGTTTATTTGGAAAATCAGATATTAAGTGGCACACCCCAAAGTAAGTTCTTAGGTTTGCATATAGATGGTAGATTGAAGTTTGAATGCCACATTGCAAACCTAAATAAAAAATTGGCATCAAATTGTTATGCTTTAAAAATAATTTCAGGTGAATTAGACAAAAATATTACGAGACAAGCATATTTTGCATTAATAGAATCCCATCTACGTTATGGAATATGTTTTTGGGGTTCTTGTGCTAAACAGCTAATGCATACAGTATTCATTTTGCAAAAAAGAGCAATCAGATACATGAACAGGGCCAATTTGAGAGATTCATGCAAACCGCTTTTTGTTGCTAACAATATTTTAACATTACCATCTTTGTTTATTCTTGAAACAGTA